CACACACAGACACACACACACACACACACACACACACACACGCACACGCACACGCACATACGCACAAGCACACACAGACACACACACACACACAGACGTATTTGTCTGTGGTTTCCAGTTTTCCTGGTAGGTGAAACTGGTTCGCCGATGATGGAAGCGGTGCCAAACGGGGACGACGACGTCTGGGCGGTCCTTGGTGGTTGTCCGAGGTCCGCGGTGGTTCTCCAAAGCTTTCGGAGTTGCTGGAATCGAGATTGTCCCGGGGGGCTGGATTCGGGACCTCGTCGAACAGCGGGGGCGGGAGTTTCACAGTTGCAGCTGGATGCCACGGCGCCCCACCTGCCTTCATATAAATTGGCGTCCTGTACATCGCCATGGAGGAACGTTTCTTGAGGGAAACAGCTCCCGAGGATTTTGGCCGTTCTCGGGCAACCAGGTCCTCCACCGGCCCCGGGGCTGTCAGAAAGTTGCCTTGGAATTGGGTTTGGGTGAAGATCCTTGGTCCTGGAGTCCAGGTCCCGTCCTCGTCAGGTTCCATCTACTTCTTGCCAAAATGAGCAGTCGCGACGGGTTTCGTTGTCCCGTGTATGGCTGCGCGGGTCTCGGGCACCGCTGCGGTAAAGAGTGGGGTCGTGTGTTCGGGCCGCGCTTTCTCAGAGCGTCGAAGGTCTTGGGACAGCATGCCAGGTTCAATCGATCAGGTGTCGTTTCGCTGTCGGTTTTTCCGATCGATCGCTGGCGAGTGTCGCCTGCCTAACCGCAAGCACCGCGGTTTATCAGCAAGTGGTTGTTGGCCACCGAACGCATCAATGCCTTCTTCATAATGTATGTGCCACGCAGCGCATATCGAATTGAAGTTGCGAGCCGATTTGATTTGGCGTCTTCCTGCTCCATGCGCCGACGAGGCGTCTGTTTCCACACGCTTCTCTCCACAGACCACCCCCGATGTAAGCACTGTTCCTTCCTGTTCGTGCGCTCGTCTACTCAATCTGAGTGGCCGTCTCGTTCGCATTATGGCCGTGTTCGTGAAATTAGCCGATATCTTCTTGGACGCTCCAGTCCCTTCCCCCCGCCGCCCAGGTCCAGGGGAGGGTATAGGGGGTAGGGGGAGGGGCAAAGCCCTCCCTGGAGGGGAAGAATGGGGCTGGAAGAGGGAACTCGGTAAACCACTCACGCCCGAAAGGGCTGGTGGGATTACTTCGCTCCTCCCTTCCCGCCTTCCCTTCCGCCCTGGCCCCCCTCCCCTTTCTTCTCATCGTAACCATTCTCCCTTCCCTTCCTCCTCTCTCCCCCGTCCCTCCCTGCGCCGCCAGATGAGGAACACTCTATGCTCTGTTGGCCATGGTGAGCCTCGCTTCGAGTAAGTTCAGGAGGGAAAGAAACACACAGACACAATTAATCGTCGACTCCCAGGAAAATATGGGAAGAGATGGGAAGTGGGGGGAAGACAGAAGCTCAGAAAGTATGGATCAATGTGGGCATTCCTGTTATTTGTACGGATTTATTTGTGTGTTTGTGGGCCCCTTCGCAAGCTCCCCCGACGCAGACCCGAGGAGCGGCCTGGACCGGACCGCCCCGCCCAGGCCCACCATCTGCACAGCCGGGGCGCCGAAGAGGGAGCCCTTTTCTTCGTTGGGGAGGGGCTCCGTGTTCCTTCGCTGTGTTGCGCTGTGCCTCGGGTTTTTCTTTCCAGGTTTGCCATGGGAGATCGAAGTTTCACTGATGGGAAAACAGGGGCCTCTTTCCTTGTTTGTTGTTCCTCAGGTCAGCGCCTCGACTGAAGAGGGAGCCCTTCTCGCTGGGGAGGAGCTCCGTGCTCCTCAGCTGTTTTACGCTGTGCCTCGGGTTTTTTTCTTTCTAGGTTTCCTATGGGAAATCGAAGTCAAACCGATGGGAAAAAGGGGCCTCTTTCCGATAGGACCTCGGTTCTATTTTGTCGGTTTCTAGAGCTGAGGTAATGATTAATAGGGATAGTTGGGGGCATCCGTATTTGACTGTCAGGGGTGACATTCTTGGATTCGTTTGAGACGGACTGCTGCCAGAGCGTTTGCCAAGGATGGTTCACCGTTCCTTGGGTCAAACGCCTCGACGGTGCGGCTCCTGGCCTCGCGCACTGCAGCTCCCCAGGCAGTCCTGGCCAGCCTCGGCAGATCCCCCCGGGCCGTTCCGAGAGGGGGGGGGGGCCTCGACGCGACGCCTCCACCCGGGGGGGGCGCGGAGCGTCCCGGCGGCTCCGCCGCGGAGGCGGCGCCGGGGCGCTGAGACCGCCCCTGGCGTGACGGGGGAGGATCAGTGGAGAGGAGGCATTCTGCCAGATAATCTCATGTGGGCGAGGAAGCATGTGGAGAGGAACGGGGAACTCATGATGGAGTGGGAGGATCAGTGGAGAGGAAGCATGTGGCCGCTCCGTCGGAGGTGGCGCCGGGGCGCTGAGACCGCCCCTCGCGTTGCGGAGGACGACCAGTGGAGAGGAAGCATGCTGCCAGATAATCTCCAGATGCCTAAAAAAGAGGTGTCACAGATGTTTTCACTATGTTATGGACATGCTTGAAACATGGTTTGAGCATGTTTCACACATTTTTGAAACACATCTTCAATTCAACGATAGGATCGTGAGAGTGTCCATGGCCGTGGCATCCACAAGCAGATGTCTAAAAGAGGTGTCAAGTATGTTTTAACTATCTTGTGGACATGCTTGAAACATGGTTAGATCATGTTCAACACATTCTAAGCACATCCTTATTAATCGCTTCGCTCATTCCGCCGGCCCATACAGTCTCATGTCTGCCGTTTGCCCGAGGGCCTGGTGTCAATGCGGCGCTTTGGGGTTTCCTGGGGCCGCTTGGGGGACTCCTGGGGCGCTCGGGGGGGCATTTGGGGGGCCTCCTGGGGCCGCTTGGGGGACTCTTGGGGGCCTCCTGAGGGCCTCGTGGGGGCCTCTTGGGGCCTCTTAGGGGCCTCTTGGGGCCTCGTAGGGGCTTCTTAGGGCCGAGGGCTCGAAATGTTGTTTCGTGTTCCCTCTCTGGGGCCCCTTTGGGGGCGTTCTTGGGGCCCTCTTGGACCGTCTTGGAGACTTCTTGGGCCGTCTTCGAGCCCTCTTGGGCCATCTTGGGGCCCTCTTGGGGGCCTCTTGAGCCCTCTTGGGGCGATCTTGGGGGCCTTTGGGGCCGTCTTGGGGCGTCGGGAAGCCGAAAAGGTGGAAGCTCCAAAATCTGTCAAAAACCTAAGGAAAAACAATGAATTTTGCCTTCGGGGGCCCTCTTGGGAGTGCTCTTGGAGGCCTCTTGGGGCGTCTGGGGGCTATCTTGGGCGTCTTGGAGCGATCTTGTGGCATGTCGGACCCCTCGTGTACTATCTTGGGGGCCTCTTGGGGGCCTCTTGGCCTTCCTTGGGGCTCTCGGGGACGTCTCGGAGCCCTGTTGGTGCGCTCATGGAGCGCTCCTGGAGCGCTCTGGGGGAGTCTCCCGGGGATCGGTCGGGGATCGCCCGGGGTACTTTTCGTTTGGGGACCCCCAGGGGCCGCCCCGCGCGCGCGAACTAGAGAATTGTTAACCAGTTACCGGAGATCTTAGCACGCCTCTGGCCCGTTGGGCCGGCGAATTTGCTGGGCGCCCGGAGTGGGTACGGAAAGAATGGGTACAATGCCCAACAGCAGCTCCTGTTCATTTTGAGCAGGACTCGCTGTCGGTGCCGCCGCGGCCCGTGTCCACTCGAGACAGAAGGCCGCCTGCCCAACAGCGGCCGCTGCGGGTTTTGGGCAAGATTTGTTGTTGGGCACTGTACCCCTTAGGCGATGCTTAAGAAAACTTAAGTTTTCGGCCACAGTCTCGATTATTCTTAATTTTTCAATGGAAATCCTAAGATTTTAATGGAAATGTTGGGTTTTTTATTCAAGTTCTGAGACTATGAATTTCTTAACCCATGATTTCTTAAGCATTTCGCAGGGTGTACCCATTCTTTCCGTGCCCATTTTTGGGGCGTCCAAATAATCCAACGATAGGATTGTCAGAGTGCCCACTGTCGTGGCATCCACAGCTCCGGGGGCCCGCTGAGGCCAGCTGGGGCCTGCCCGAGGGGGGCCGGCCTGTGGAGGCCGGCTGGGCCTGCCTCGGGGGAGGGGCCGCCGGCGCGCGGCCCGAGGCCCCACCGGCCCACCCCCCGCGCTCCTGCTATCGGCCCGGCTAAAACGACGCGAAGATCGGGACAAAATCGGATCGGGATAACTCGAAATCTCTGAGAATCGGCGGGTTTGGAGGATGTATTGGGCGCCGCGGCCGCTCCAGAGCGTTCCGGAACGCTCTGAGAGCGCTCCGGAACGCTCTGGAGCGATTTATCCCGATCCTAGCCCTGTTTTACCGGCGTTGAGTCGTGCCTGTCCCCCTACAGGGGGATATTCGACGAAAAATAGAACATACCCCAAAAATAGTCCAAACATAGTCTGGGGACTATTTTTTGAGCATTTTGTGGCCATTTGGGGATTTTTTTAGGTATTTTTGATGTTTCGTCGAACATCCCCCTGTAGGGGGACACGCCCGACCTAAGCCCAGCGCCGCCCTGCCGGCCCCTCCGCGCACCCCTCTCCCAGACACCCGGCTGCGCCGTTGCTTGTCGTCGCGCAGGCCCCAGAGTGAAGTCGGGCGTGTCCCTCTGCAGGGGGGATGTTCAGGAATAGGCAGAAAATAGTCAGGGGACGATGTTTTGACTATGTTTTCCTATTCGGGGGGTATTTTTGTTTATATATATATATATATATACACACATATATATATACACATAAAAACAACAACAACAACAACAAAACGCCCAAAATCCCCCTGCAGGGGGACACGACGCCCGACTTAACCCCAGAGGTCCAGAGCCCTCCCCTGGGACTGGTTCTTCTTCGCGAGCTGTCTGTGACGGTCCCGAGGCCGGGCGCCTGGAGGTGCGCGCGGGCCCCACGCAGGAGGCAGCCACTCTCGGCGGTGGGCGGGTGGGGCGTGGGCGCCCGGGGGGGGGAGGACTACCTGTTCTACTTCCCGCCGCGGGAGGCGCTATGGGGCAGCCGAGCGCCTCCCCCTCCTCCTCCCTCTTCCCTCCTCCTCCCTCCTCCCTCCTCCTCGGCCTCCTCCTCCTCCTCCTCCTCCTCCGCCTCCTCCTCCTCCTCCTCCTCCTCCTCCTCCTCCTCCTCCTCCTCCCTAGGAGCTAGGGCAGGGAGGAGGGGGGGAGGGGGGGAGGGTCAGTGGAGGGGGGAGGGGGGAGGGCAAGCCAGGTGCGCTCGCGTCATGCCTGACGTCCTGCCCCTCCCTCCCATCCCTTGCCGTGGCGTAGATCTCCTCTCTGTTCGCGCAGTCGGATGTCGAGAAGGGCACTGGTACTCAGAGGGTGCGCGATGCATCGTAGAGCACGGCATAGCAGGGAGTAGAATAGCACGGCAGAGCGTAGTATGTCATAGCATGGCCCAGCGTCGCGTAGTGAAGAATTGCATCACGAATCATTCCAGTGCACAGAATGGCATCGCATAGCGGCACAGAGCAGAATATGGAATAGTATGGCGTTGAAGATCAAAGCGTAGCATGGCATAGCATGGCGTTGCAGCTGAAGGCATGGCGTCGCACAGCGGAACACCACATAGCATTGCATTGCATGCCCTGGCATGGCCCTGGGAATAATGACGCCAGCGCTGCAACGGGAGCACGATTCGGAACGGGCGGCAGCGCGGAAATGAGGCCAGCGTTGCAGCGGGAACACGATTTGTAACGAGCGGCAGCCTGAGAATGAGGCCAGCGCTTAAGCGGGACAATGAATTTGAAACAACTCCCAGCGGAAACCCAACTCCCGGGAATCTTGTATATAAAAAAACAATACGCGGAGGGGGGCCGAACATCTGCCGCACGTCGTCAGGGGAGAGAGGAGAGTAGTCATATTATGTAATTGTGGAGGGGGGGGCGGGGAAGGAGCGGGGAGGGGGAGGGTCGGAGGAGCAACGGGTACCCACGGTACCCATGACGTGGCGCTCGCGTAATTTCACCCGGGTTCCTTCTGATTTGTGTCGCAGATCTTTTGGGGGACCTCGTTCACATTCAATTCCGACCCTCCATCCCTTCAGGCTCCGCCGCAGGCACCCGGAATAACAATCATTTCAAATTGCAGCCATACTCCCACATTGGAGGCATACCCCCTTGCGTTGCCCAGGAACCCTTCGCCCATTTTCCCCGTTTTGGCCCGCTTGGGAGGTCCTCGTCGCCACCGCCGCATTCGCCTCGAAATTCTGGCCAGAGCGCACCCCAGGAGAGGTCCGGGGAGTAGCGGTATCGGTACCTTTTTGGTTCCCGCCAGAGAATGGAACACAGACGTGTTTGCGTCGAGAAGCGGCTTCGGCACCGCCTGTATCCGAGGCTATGCCTCCTCTCGGCCTCCCTCCTCTTCTTTGCCTACTTCAAGCTTCGCGCGGCCCGCTTAGCTTCGACCAGAAGAGGTGCGCTCTCGACCCGCGGATCACATGTTAGTGTTTGCGTCGAGAACAAAGTTACGACGGGCTTATTCTCGTAACCTTTGGCCTCCATGGGCGCCCTGTACCGTGCCTCGGGGCCGTCGACCAAGCGGCTCGGAATGAGAGCCACGGGAAGGGGTCCAGGCCTGAAGCTTGGCATCGCTCGGACATGTGCATTTTTTCTCGGCGAGAACCATCGAGGACCATCCTGGACCATCGAGCACAACAAACATGCACGAAACCGACAAATGTACGGGAAATGGGCGTCCGAGCGACGGCAAGGTAGGGCTTCGCGTTGTCAGCAACAATCACGACATCGGAGGTATGGAAAGGAGGGGGTGAAATACGGGGAGGAACGGATGCGAGGTGTAGGGGTGCGAGAGGGGGAGGGAGAGAAGGGGGTTGGGGGGGGCAAAGGGGAAGAACGAGGCGGTATTCAGCGGGACCTGGCGGTCGACAGCGCTTTGAGAAAGGGGAGCTAACGACCTACCCTGGCCTGTCCGGGCTGTCTGGAGAAAAATGGCGAGGCCACCTGTCGCGCGAATGAATCTTTGCTCTGAGTCTGAAGACCTTTCCCACCTGCGTTGTAGCCGAGATGCTCCTTGCGCCGACCGACCTCCAAGAAGGATCGGGACAACGGCGGCGACCACGGCCGTGGCGACCGCGTGACCACGGCAACGACCACGAGGATGCGGGCTTCGCGCGGGCGCGCGCAGCGCACAGGCGGCCTCCGAGCCGATGGTGCCCGCCACGTGCCAGGCCCTTGCGCGCTCCGCGCGCGCGCGCCTGCCACCGCGGACCTCCCCACCCGCCGCCGAGGCTGGCCAGAGCCACGGGTGCAGGCCTCCCAAGGGGGGGGCTCCCAGCAATCGTGGCGGGAGGTTTCTCGCTGTTTTTCCAGCTTCGGGGGGGTCCTCACTGGCCCTGGGGATCGTCACGCAATTTTTAGGATGAGCAGGGGCGGCCGAGGGGGGTGATTGCTAGCGGGGGGGATATCATGGCGGGGGCCATGATAACTCCCTAGATTTCATGGCGCCCCTTCTCATTTCAATACGTCCCCCGCCCCCCCCCTGGGACGCGCCCATGCCGCCGGACATGATTTGCACCTCCCCCTCTTGGACGTCCCCCTCTTGGTCGCCCCGAAATGAATAACCGGTACCAGGGAAAGGGGTCCAGTTTTCTGCGGGCCCATTTCAAGAATATGCGGCGTCGTGTATTTGCGGAGGCCGCCCAGTTGGGGTCCGAGAACATCTGGGTCCGAGGTTCGCGCCGCATCGCCGATGCGTTGGAGATACGGCTCGACTCGGAGCCCGATATTCTCAACCCTGACGTTGCCGATGCACTGGCGATACCTCGACGATGCGGCTCGATCCCCCGACCCCATCTACTCGGACCCCACTAGGGAGCCCTCTAGGTAGGCGATGGTGGTATCCGTCCCAGTTGACAACGCAGGTGACCCAGGCCACCTGGTGCCGTGAACAACAAAAAAAGCGCAAGCGGAGGTTGCTGGCGATCTTCGGCATCTTGGGCCCTTGTCAGGACAATGGAGCCGTCAGCAGAAACAGTTGGGCAGGGTGCCGAGACCTCCAGGGTTGCACGTAACGAGAACAACAAGCATGCCGTCGGGAGCCTTTGCGTGCACGTGAGTTGGTCGCAGTTCCCAACACCTTCCAATTCCCAGTGCCCCCTCCTCCTCCTTCTCGGTCTTATTCCTCCCCTCACCGCCATCGCTACTCCCCTCCCGCTTCCTACCCACACTCGCTGTCAGAGGCTATGCCTTGTCATACTCGCCCTCCTCATCCTCCATCCTCGCCATGGCCCCCGCCCGCTCGCCCTCTCCTGTCTGCGTGGCTTTCTGAATCATGGCGCTTGCCCCCCCCCCCCCCATCGGGGCACTCGCACCTTCCACGGCGCACGAACGTATTTGTGTATGTGCGTGTGTGTGTATGTGTGTGTACACCTTAGGCGATGCTTAAGAAAACTTAAGGTCTCGACCAGAGTCTCGATTATTCTTAATGTTTCAATGTAAATCCTAAGGTTTTAATGGAAACGTTGGGTTTTAATTCAAGTTCTGAGACTATGAATTTCTTAACCCATGATTTCTTAAGCATTTCGCAGGGTGTATGTGTATGTGTATGTGTGCAATTAGGTGCTGTGCATCCTGAACGGCCCAGCGCGTCCGCACTGAGCGTATGAGGGCGCGGCACGTCGTCGCCTCGGCGAGTGCGGTGGAAGTGCCTGCGCCCTAGCACTCGTGAGGAACATTCGGGAGGCATCGCGCGGCACTCAACAGCTGCGTCCTCTCGTCCACACGTCCAGCCCGCAGATAACTATGGGACAACGTTTGCGCGGCGATGGTCCGACGTCAGTCCGACGTACATCCGACGTGAGTCGGGCCTACATCCAATCTAGATCCGACGTACATGGGGCTTGTGTTGCCGCGCTAGGCCTGCAGAATGTCCTCATGAGCAACCCGTCTAGTCCACCCCCACCCGTGCACGCCGGTCGTTGAACGTAGATGTTTGTTTCATATTTCTGACCAGAATCTATTTCAAGCGCAGATGTTTGTTGCATATGTCAATGGTCGAGTGTTTTCACATGTACTTTAATCTTCATGGGGCGGGCGGAAGCCCCATCTCCTTCTCACGACACAGAAAACCCTTCAGAAGGCGCGAGGACTTCTGAGAAGTCCCGCCGCCTTCTGAGAGGGCCTTCTACCTCTCACTTCCCCTCCTCGCTCGCCGCCGATCACTCGTTCCCGCCCCCCCCCTTGAATCAGGAGGTTGGAACACTAACCTCTGGAAGTTAGGTTGGTTCCTATTTCGGAATGTCCAAACACACAAAACAAGTAACATCATAGAGACATAGCGAGAAACATACACGAACACAAGGAAGCAGAAGGAGATAACGAGACACAGAGAGAAAGAGGGAGGTTTGAACACTGTCCTCCGGAGGTTAAGGTTCCATACCTCGGCACCCCCCAATACAGATGGAAACAGAGACGAACAGGAGGGAACACAGAAACAGATGGTGAAACAGAGGCGAACATGAGGACACGACGAGAAAATGGTTAGGGTTTTTTTTTTGACATCGCAATGCATATAACAAAGAGAAACATCTGGAAACATAGGGAAACAACGAGAAACAAAGAGAACATGGGGCATGATGGAACAACGAGAAGCAGAGAGAGAGTGAAGGAGGTTGAAACACGAACCTCCAGATGGTAGAGCTCCCGATCTCAGGACCTCGCCATGCAGAGGGAAGCATCGACACACAGAAGGAGCACATTATATTCGTTTTGAAAAGAGACAATCCAGAGGACATAACGAGACACATGACGAGACATATAGTATGAGAGAGGTTTGAGTACTAACCTTCAGAGTTTAGGGCTTCCTGCCTCGAAACCTCCCCATACGGCGGGATATGGAAACTAACATTAGGAAACGACAAACATTCGGATACCTATACAAAGAGAAGGCAACCTACAAGCAGCGACTATCATAGAGAAGCATACAGACAGAGGGAGGTAAGAACACGAATCTCCGTTGGTTGGGTTTCCTACCTCGGAGCCTCTCCATACAGAGGGAAACAGAGGCAAACATATGGAACCAACGACAACCATACGGAAACATATACACCGAGTAGAGTAGGACAAAAAGTGAAGTACAGAGAAACACCGGCATATTCATATATAGATATATGCACTCCCACGTTGCCGCCTTGCCAGCCAATGACACCCCCTCGGGGACCTTCCATCTAACCCACCGAATGCAATACAAAGCCGACGCTTGCCATTTCTACAATGACTTTTTGTTGGTCGGCATTGCAACAGGCGCTTCGGCAGGGGAACGGGGCGCGCATCCCTCGCGAAGAGCGAAATGTCTCTTTTTGTCACCCCCTCGAAGCGCTCGCTTTTGCCCTAGAGTTGAACTCCGCGCTTGGAAGAGGCGCGCCTCTGTCAGTCCCCTACCCGTTGGCAGCGGGGTCGCGCGCGAGCCTACGGAAACGTCGCTGTCGCTCTGGCGCCGCGCGCACACAGTCGGGGCGTTGAAGAAGGAACCCTTTCCGTTGGGGAGGGGCTCGGTGTCCCTCGATTGCCTCACGGTTTGCCCTGGGCTTCCCTGAGGTCTCTCATGGGGAATCGAAATTTAATCTATGAGACGAGGGGGCCTCGTTCCTCATGTAGGGCTCCTTAGGTCAACGCCCCGACTGTATTTTGCTGCTTGTGTAAAGTCGGGTGTTGCTAGAAGTACCCCTGGCCCAAGGTACCCCCAGGATTCTCGGGGTGGCCCGGGCGGCCTCCAGGGCACCCCTCACGAGGCCCAGAGGACCCCAGGGGCTTTGTAAGGGAGCGAAAAGCGGGGGGCACCTTGGGCCAGGGGCATTTCTAGCAACACCCGATAAAATCAGAGCGTGAATTACCTACCCCGCTTTCGCTTCCAGGCAAAACCAAGTCATACCACACGCCTCCTCGGCAAGCGGCCTGACCAGTACATGCCGTAGTTTGGCATCGCTTGGTATCTCTTGGAAGCGAGGGTGGTCAAAAGCGAGGTAGGTTTGTTTGCCCCCTATAAAAGGCTGCTCCCGCCCTGGCGCGGCGCAGGGCGTTTCTCTGTTCGCTCGCCGGCCGGGTCGCTCCTGGCGGCGGGGCCGCGGGCGCGCCCGCGCGCGCGTCGTCCGAGCTCCGTTTGCCCCTTCTCTTGGCATCGCTCGGGCGTGTGCATTTTTTCCCGGCGAGAACCATCGAGGACCATCCTGGACCGTCGAGCAAACACAAAAGAACACGCGCGACACCGACAACCATGCACGGGAAATGGACGTCCGCGCGACGGCACGCATTTTCGCCTGGAAGGGGCGCTCCCATGTGGGCGCGGGGCGCGTTTCGCTTGCCGAGGCGCATGCCAAGGCGGCGGCTGCAACGGTGCCGTGCGAAGGCCGGCGAGGTGCTGTCTCCTCTCGGAATCGCGCAGCTTGCTGATGGCATCGCCAGATGGTTTCGGGACGGGGCATGGTTCGCCTTCGCCGCGTTCATCTGATTTTCTGCCATCCGATAGAGGGCGTCTTGATGTTCCATGGTGGTTCCTTATACGTCTTGATGGTTATGTTGTTTTGGCATGTTTCGTCGAATGTGTTTAGATGCCATAGTATTTCGTTATGCTACATCATGGTTCCATATTATTTCCGTTCATTTCGTGTTGGTTGAGTATGCTTCTATACGTTCCCATGTTGTGCTCTGTTATGTGGCCTTGTGGGTGTGTATATATATGCATGTATATGTATGTATATATGTATGTATATATGTATGTATGTATGTATGTATGTATGTACATTTGTATGGTAGAGTCCGCTTCCCGTTGCTACCTTATGTTTGCACCTCTACGTTCCCTCGTGTTGCTCTATGTTTCCCGCTGTGTTCTTCTGGTCGGATACGGTCCAGCATAGGAATATCTAATCTCCGGGGGCAATGTTCCAACTTCCCTGCTTCGCTTCATTCTTTCATGTTCCTGCTGTCTTCCTCTGTTCCTTACGCTTGTTCTATGACGCCTCATTTTTGTCGTTGATTCCTGATGCTTGCTCCTGTTTCTCGCTGCTTTCATCAGTATGTGGAGGTCCCGAGGTAGGATACCACGGGGTTCTGGTATCCTCATTCTCATCTTCATCGTTTGTTTCCGCCTTCCGTCTCGCTCTGTTCATCATCTGCGCCTCTTCCTCTATCTTCTCCTCCTCACACTGGCGACGACAATCACGTCCCCAGAAGGCTGCCAAGGACAATGGTGGTTTGGTGTTGCAATCTCGGGATTCCGTGGGCAACGCTTTTTCTGCCCCTCCTCGCCGTCCTAGCCCATCGTGCTCATGTTCTTATTTCGCCTCCCAGAGGAGGAGTGCCCAAGAGTCCCTCAAGACGCCCCAAGAGGCCTCCAAGTGGCCTCCCAAGAGGGCCCCAAGAGGGAAACAACTATTGATTACCCATATGTGGTTGAAGGGATTTGGTGTTCTTGCCTGTTCGGCTGTCCGACGCTCCAAGACGGCCCAAGAGGCCCCCAAGATCGCCCCAAAACGGCCCAAGAGGCCTCCGAACTCTACGGTGGGTTGGCGTCGTGTCGAAGAGCGGCGACTTCGCTGCCGGCATTCAACGACAAGGTTGGACGCTTTTGGCAACCCAGATTCGTTCGATGTTGATCGATCTGAAGATTCGGAGATGGCCGATCGTTCAAGGTTGAACGATCCCCGCGGTGTCTGAAACCAGCGCCGAAGTCGGCTCGACATCAACTTGCCGTACAGTCGGGCCGTTGAAGAGGGAACCTTTTTCTTTGGGGAGGGGTTCGGTGTTCCTTCAATGTTTAACAGTTCGTCTTTGGTCTTCCAAAGGGTTTCTATGGGAAATCGAAGTATAATTGATGGAGAAAGGGGTCTGGTTCCTTGTTGTGGGTTCCTACCCCCATACCCGTACTCATTTCCGGCAGCCCTCCCATTGTTTGCATTGCCCATTTTGGACGCCTTGCCCTTCTTGAAACGGTTTTTCGTTTTCGCTACAAGTCTTCTCTCAGTCAAGAAATCGCCTTCAATGAGCAATTTGCTTTCGGTGAGCAAAGCATTTTTGCCTGCCCTGGAGACAGCCACGTTGCCGTCAGTGGAGCAATATTTGCTTTTTTGTGTCTACTTTCAGCGACTTCGTTTATGCCTTCAGTGTGCAATCTTCGTCCTTATCCAACAGAATGCCTTCAGCGAGCTCGTTGCCGCCATCCCCTTGCAATTATGCCGTGTGACTCTCCTGGAGGAGGGAGGGTGTTTGCAGCCGCGCCTCCAACCGGGCGTCACCCCCCCCCATCCGCGGCCTGTCCGAGGTCGAGAAGTTCCTGGTCGACAGGACGAAGGACCCTGACCGCGCGCGCGTGGCTCTGCCTCGTCTGCTCCCGCATCGGCACGGTCGAAATCGAAACGGACAGAGTGTCACCACCCACCAGACACATCCCAGCCCAACCCGAATGCCCCAAGTTGCCCGCCCTTCCCAGTTGTGGGGGCTCGGGGAACATCGAAAGAGCATGCGGAACCCGTACCCCCCGCAACCCGAAATGCGGGTCTTCGGGTTGGGCTGGCGTGGTCTTGCAGGCAGTCAGAGTGGGTGCGAACACTGACAAGCAGGGCTTCTGCTCGTGCTGCACACCAGTTCGCTGCCAGACGCCGCCGCGGAGCTGGCCCCCTGCGAGGCAGAGGGCCGCCCGCCGCGCCCCCTGTCGTGTCCCTATGCCCACCTCGGGCGCGGGGGCCGGGGGCCCAGGCCACCCGCAGTGCCGCGATCGCGCTCCGCCGGATGCGGTGTGCTTCGCTCTCCGGGGCAGCCGCGCACACGGGGGCGCGCGGCCAGCCGCTGCTCGCCAGGCGCGACGCGCTGGCAGGCAGGCGCTCCAGCGCCGCTCGCGCTCGCTGTGCTCGGCACCGCTCGGACGTGGGCATATGTTTTTTCCTCGGCGAGGTCCACCGAGGAGCATCCTGGATGATCTGGCGGACAGACCACGCACGACCACCGAAAAGAGCACAGGGAATGGCCGTCCGAGCGATGGCCGGGCTCGCTGTATGGCGTGCGTCGGGGCTGCGCCGCGGGCCAGGACGTGGGGGCGCCCGTGACGCAGCTGTCCGACCACTACGGCATCGAGGCGGCGCCTGCCTCCGGTGCTGCCCTCTGCCGTCAACGACGGAACGTTGTGTGCCTCGTTGTTTTCCGGCGGCGAGCTGGGGGGGCGGGGTGAGAAGGAAAGGGCTAGTGGAAATCGAGTAATGGAGAGGACGCATGCTGCCAAATATTGTCCAGGTGTCTAGAAGATGTTTCAAACATGTTTTAGATATGTTAGAAGCATGTTTGAAATTTGTTTAGAACATGATTTGCACATTTTAAACACATCTTTAATTCACTGATAGGATTGTTAAGAGAGTCCATTGTTATGGCAGTCGCAGGAGCAGGCCTCCTCAGAAGGTGGCGGGACTTCTGAGAAACCATCGCGCCTTCCGAGAGGTGTTCTCCGTATTCGGGGAGGGCTTGAAATTGTTCTTGTGGAAGTCGATTTAATGGAGGGGAAGCATGCTGCCAAATAATTTTCAGATATCTAAAGGATGTTTAATACATGTTTTTAGATAGGTAAAAAACACGTTTGAAACATTCTTAGAAATGGTTTTACACATCTTAAGCTCATCTTTACATCAATGGTCGGATTGTTAGAGTGTCCATGGTCATGGCATCCACAGGAGAAGACCTTCTCAGAAGGCGGCGGGGCTTCTCCGAAACCCTCGCGCCCTTCGAGAGGTTTTCTCGATGTATTCGGGGAGGGCTTGAAGTTCTTCTCCGAAGGCCAGGGGACTTCCGAGCTTTCTGGGAAGGCCGGGCCCTTCTCACTTTCCCCCCGGGCCTGCCGCCGATTGTTCGCACAGATCTCAGCAGCCATCGTGGAAGGCGTGCATTTTTCACCACATCCCAGGACGCCTCCACCTCGAACCTTCCAGCGTTCTGCTCCCAGACTCACTCATGCGCAGATTCGATCCTACACAGACCGATTCCTACTCAGACCCACTCACGCTCACACTCAGACTCACTCACACTCATGCTCAGGCTTACTCACTCTCATATTCAGACCCACTCATACCCAGCAGACTCACTCAAACCCAGCTGACTCACTCATACCCAGGAGACTCCCTCATAATCAGACTCACGCTCAGACTGATCCACACTCAGACTCACTCACACTCATACTCGCTCACACTCAGACTCACTCACACACAGACCACTCACACTCATGAACTCATGAACGCTCATACTCAGCTTAGTAATGCCCAAACTCGCTGACACTCGGACCCACTCATGCTCAGACTCACTCATTCTCGAACTTACCCACTCACTCGCACTCAGCCTCTCGTACTCGGACCCACCCACGCCCAGTCTTCTTCAGATTCAGGAGCCCCATGATCACCGCAGTGTGGCAGGCATACCAGTCGAGTACCCAAAGGGGGGCCCGTTCGCGCTGCGAGATGGTGGGGACAAGTCCAGCGAAACGCTGGTTTGGGCTGCACCGGCTGGTCTTTTCATCGCCGCATGATGATCCCGATGTAGCGTAGCAGACGTACCACCTGCGCGCTCCAGTGGGGAGCCGCCAGGGGGTATCTCACTGCTAGACAGCGGGGGTCATCTTGCGGCGGCAGGCTCGAGGTGTAACTTCGAGTTCCCCCTCTTGAGGCCATCTTGGGCCGTCTCGGGGGCCTCTTGGGCGTCTTGGGACCCCCGTGGCAGCCACTCCGGGCGATTTGGGAGGCTTCTTGGGCCGCTTTGGAGCGCTCGAAGCCCGAAAAGACGGGAACGGCAGAATCCTTCCAAACCAAGAGCCTCCTGGGAATCGTGGGCGTCTCGGAGCGATCTTCGGGCGACTCGGGGCCCTCTTGGTTCCGTCCTGGGCGCGTCCTGGCGACCTCCCGCCCCGTTGTGGGTCCCCCTTGCGCCTCGAAAAAAAAAAAAAAAAAAAACCTCTGGCGAGGGCGCGCGCCAGGCCGCAGGCGCGCCTGGGACTCGGGGCCATGGACCACTTGCAGAGCACTGCAGCCCTGAGCGCAAAGGACTCTGAAGGACCTGAGGACCTGCTGGAACGATAGCAGATGATCAGGACGCTTGCAAGTGATCCTACGCGGTGAGGCGGGCGAAGGAGGAAGAGGAAGGGGAGGGCGAAGGAGGGGGGAAGGCGGAAGGGCGAAGGAGGGGGGAAGGAGGAAGAGGAAGGGGGGAAGGAGCGTGGAGGGAGGGCGAAGGAGGGGGGAAGGAGGAAGAGGAAGGGGAGGGGGAGGCTCCGTCCCAACCCCGTCTTGGCAACAGAGCGTTGGCTTGTTCACCACCCGGCCTGCCTTTCCCAGTCCTCTCTCGTGCTCCTCTTGTGCAAAACAGAGAAAGAGTACGCAAACATCAGCGGCGGGGCTGTTGCGACCCTCGGCAGCACGAGGCCTTGCAGGGACGGACGCGATACAATCCCAAGAGGACGAGTGCGAGGCAATACTAGCGTGAGTTGCGGCAGTATTGCAGACAAGAGCATGAAACAGGCGCGAGACGATGGGTGGAGGAGATCACATCGTGGCAGCGGCGTTTTGTTCCTCGTCCTCCTCTTACCCCCGTCTGAGCCTGTGCACCACCCGATCTGCCTTCCCACTCCTCTCTTATGCACCTCTTTCCCGTTTCCTGTGTTGTCCCTCCTCATCCTCCACGTTTTGCAGCCTCCTCCTCCTCGCCCACATCACCCTCCTCCTCCTCCTCCTCCTCCTCCTCCTCCTCCTCATCCCCACCTCGTCCTCATCCTCCTCCTCGTCCCCTGGCTCAGCCTCGTCCTCCTCGTTTTACCCTCCTGCTCCTCCCTTCTTCCTCCTGCGGTGCCTCCCCCACGGCCTTCATGTGCACTGCACTCATCGGCCTGTGAGGTCTCCCTCACTGCCAGCAGCGCTGTCCCAGCCGCCGCTGCTGTGTTCACCAGGGCTGTGCGGGCGTTGAGCTCCCCCCCAAAACAACGACAACAACAACAACAACAACAACAACAACACCAGCACCAACAACAACACCAACAACACCAACACCAACACCACCACCAACACCACCTCCACCACCAACAACAACAGCAGCAACAACAACAACACCACCAACAACAACACCACCACCACCAACAACAACAACAACAGCAACACCAACAACAACAACACCACCAACAACAACAACAGCAACACCAACATCAACAACAACAACAACAACAGCAACAACAACAACACCAACAACAACACCAACAACAACACCAACAACAGCAACAACAACAACAACAGCAACAACAACAACAACACCAACAACAACAACAACATCGGTTCCTCCCCCAGCTCTCACGCCTTGCTGCTCCCGCCCCTGCATCCCACCACCAAGGGGGGGCGGGCCTCGGGGAGGGGGGGAGCGCGCGCGGGCCGTGGCGGGGGGGGGGGGAGCGGGGCGAGGCTTTGGGGCGGCGGCCTGCAGGGGCCGCAGCAGTGGCCCGGGGGGTGCCCCAGACGACCGAGGAGGAGGAGGGGGCAGGGGGATGGAAGGGGGGGGAAGGAGAGGAGGAGGAGGAGGAGGGAGGGAGGAGGAGGAGGAGGAGGAGGAGGAGGAGGAGGAGGAGGAGGAGGAGAGGAGGAGAGGAGGAGGGAGGAGGAGGAGGAGGAGGAGGAGGAGGAAGAGCAGGATGAGGGAGCGGAGGAGTAGGAGGGGTGGAGGAGGCAGGGGGATGCAGGCGGTGGATGCAGGAGGAGGCAGAAGAGGACGCAGAGATTGTGGGGACACGGGGAGGGATACCAGGAGGAGGAGGAGGAGGAGAATGAGGAGGAGGAGGAGGAGGAGGAGGAGGAGGAGGAGGAGCAGGACTTGCGCGTCGGACTGGTTATGGCGACTCCGGCTCTCGGGTCACACCCCTGCGTGGATTAGCAGCCGCCTCGCTGCGCCTAGGGCTGCCGACAGAGAGCAGCAGCAGCAGCAGCAGCAGCAGCAGCAGCAGCAACAACAACAACACCGACATCGCAACACATCACGATTGGAGCTCTTCTCCTCCCCTGTCAGGCGAGAGCGGGAGTCCATCCTTACCAACCGCCTGGGGTACCGATCTCCTGGGGCCCAATGGGGGGGCGGAGTACACTTGGGCCCCAGAGGGCTCGAACATTAGCCACATCCACCGCCCGAAGATCGACCCCCGGGCGGCGGTTATGAGGGTTTGTCTTCAGACTCAGGCACAGGCGAGTTCACCTGCATGGCATTTTCCATTCCCTTCCCCTTTTCCCCTCCCCGCCGCCTTCTCAAGCAATTCTGGGCCGAAGAGGCGTGCAAGTGGGTCTCTGCCTGCGTGAACTCCAGATTCCCTCTCGTCGGCCTCGCCATGCCCGCCCCTCCCCCCTCCATACAAAACAGACTCGCCATGACCCAAAGACGAACGGCCTCAAACCATCACGACCCAATTTTAGCTGCGCCATTTTTCGGGCTGGATCGGCGTGTGAGCGGCCCAGGGTCCGACCCTGGGCGGAGCCGCACGTGGTAAAGCAGTTGCAGAGCCAGGGTCTCGGGACGATCAAGATGGGCATTGCGGAAAGCATGGGGTCAAGGACCGACAACATCTCCTTTCATTTTGAGCACGACCCGTTGCCGGTGTCGCCGCGGACGCTTTCAATTTGAAACACAAGGCCGCTTGTCCAACAGCAGCCGCTGTCGTTTTTGGACAACATCTGTTGTTGGGCACTGTATCGAATCGTTCCGTACGCACATTTCGGGCGCCCAAACCTAAATTCTGACCGGGCGAAGCCGCCCGTTGTGAAGTTGCATCCCCAGGCTTCGAGGTCAGAGGCAGAAGCTTCATACAGATCGCCCAGGCAGGGCCTAGGGCAGGCTTAAGGGGTAGGCCCAAGGGTAGGCCCAGGGTAGGCCTGGGGACTGGCCCTTCCCTGGGCCCTTGGGCAGGGCCTACCCAAGGCGACCCAAGGCCCTTGGGCAGGGCCTGCCCAAGGCTGCCCTGGGCCCTTGGTAAGGCCCAGGGTGGCCTCCAGCTCGGGCGATCTACAGCAGAAGCCTCACAGGGCAGCGCCCCCACGAGGCCACCCTCGCCGTCCTCGGCTCGGGGCACCCCGCCGCCGGCGCGGCGCCGCCGCCTGGTGCAGCAGGCGGCGCTGGCGCGGGCACGCTGGGCGGCGGCGCCGAAGGCCCGTCGTCAACGCCGCCGCCGCCGTCGGCGGTGGTTTGAGGCGTCGGCGTCGGCGTCGGCGGCGTCGGCGTCGGCGTCGGCGTCGGCGTCGGCGTCGGCGTCGGCGTCGGCGTCGTCGTCGTCGTCCTCGTCGTCCTACTCGTCGACCTCGTCGTCGTCGTTAACTTGCATGGCATTTCCCCTCCTTGCCGAAGGAGATGCTGAAGTGCGGAGTTTCCCCAGACGCGGTCGGTCGGGAAAACGTAAGACTCCAGTACGCTGGCACCCAGGTTTGCCGACGCTTTTTGACGAGCGCGTTTTGGATATTGACGGTCCAGTTTCCGTGGGATGTTTGCAGCAGGAGCTCGCATCAAATTTCAGACGGGGTCTCGTCATTTTCGTGATGGCCCCGTCAGGCCAACCTGAGTCCCCCGAACCCGAGTGTCACGGCTCCCCGATTCTATCGACTCAGGCAAGTTTTTGTTGCTCCGCATTTCCTCTCCCCCTTTCCGCCGCCTGTTCGAGCAGTGCCAGGTCGAAGCGGCGTGGAAGCGAGCCCCAGCTTGCGTCAGCTCCAGCCTTCCTTTCGGGTTTCCCCACAAGCAAGCTTGCCAGATTCTAAAGACCAGCGGTCTCTCGTCGTCGCCTCTGCCGCCGTCGTTGGCCGCGGTGTTTCCAGGGCACGCATCAGGGTTAGGATAGGCCAGGCTCAGGGATCAGGGCTCGAGGTTTTCTGTGGCGCTTCGCCTAAGCGCGGCGGTCTGTCGACGTCGGGGTGCGCTCCCGCAGCTTCGCCCCGCCGAGAGCGCTCGGGGGGTTGCCCGCTAGGGGGGATAGGCTCAGGGGGGATGGCATCGACCGCAAATGGCCCATGTTCAAGAGGGAACAAAACACACAGACACAATTAATCGACGATCCCCAGGGCCCCTTCACATGTATCGCCGATAAGGGGCCCGATATTCCACCCCGCCCGCCCAGGAATGCGCGGTTTCGCCATCGGGGTCCTTTCACCAATCTTCACCACCCACCAGACCACCCCAACCCAACCCGAAGGCTCAGATTAATCTCGATTTCCAGTGGTGGGGGTCGGGAAACATTGACAACACACATGTGGAACCCCTACCCCCCAACCCGAAATTCGCTTCATCGGGTTGGGTTGGGGTGATCTGGTAGGTAGTCAAATCTGCCGTACCCCCTCAGGAGGTTTCAGCGGGCCTGCTGTGCCGTTAGCGGCGTCGCTTTCTTCGGCAGGTTCGGTTCAGTGCGATCGGAGCGGGTGTGGACACTACGGAGGCAAAGGCCGATCGCAATTCCTTGTCGTTTTGAAGAGGAGTCGTTGTTGGTGCCACCGCGGGCGTCGTCCATTTGAGATGGAAAGTCGCCTGCCCAACAGCGACCGTTGTCGATGTTTGACAACATTTGCTTTTGTAATCTTACACATGTTCTTCGTACTCTGGTCGCGCGGGCAAGTCGTTGGCGTCGGCCTCGTCGGCCTCGTCGGGAGGAGGAGGAGGAGGAGGAGGAGGAGGAGGAGGAGGAGGAGATTGAGCAGGGAAGGTGGATGGGTAGCCTCGGCCGTTGTCGGCTGCCTAGCCTCGGCCTTTGTCAGATCGTACCCCTGGTAGTCCGTACCAATTTCGTGCGCGCCAGTCGCTCGCGTCGGCGTCGCCCGCCGTTGGCCTCGTCGTTGGGTTCGTTACCTCCGTGGTTGGGAGGAGGCAGGAAGGAGGAGGAGCATGGAAAACATAAGGCGATGGATGAGGATGAGGAGGAGGAGGAGGGGAATGGAGAGCAGGAGCAGGGGGACCTTCCCCAACCACTGCTTGCACCTAGGGTTTCTTGCTGCTCCTTTGAGGGACTGGGCCTGTCTGGCAGTCTGGCGGCCATGTCGCCGCTGTCGCCGCCTGGTCGCCGCCCGTCGTCTGGGCCTGTCTGGCAGTCTGGCGGCTATGTTGCCGCCGGCGCCGCCCCGTCGCCACCCGTCGCCCGGGTCTGTGTGTCGGTCTGGCGGCTCTGTTGCCGTCGTCGCCGCCCCGTCGCCGCCCCGTCGCCGCGCAAACATGTATTGTTCCAACTAGATTGCACCACATAGAGTGCACCACACAGATGGCACGCCACATATCTATCTATCTATATATATACATATTGCACCACTTCTATGGCACAAAGTGCAAATTGCACCACGTGGACCGCATCGCATACCCTATGCAACAGATATGGCACACACATGGATGTCGCCTCACACATATTTCGCCACATAGGTTGCAGCACATGCGTATTGCACAAAGCACGTATTGCACCACAGCCATCGCCCCCCAGCAGCACTGCCCGCGAGTGAGTTGTGAGGACTCTGGCCAGTGCCTCGGGCCTCGGCTGATGGCGGCTGGCGCGGCGAACCGATGTCCCGCGGAGGGGCGGGGGCTGCCGGACCTGGGCCGCTGGCCAGCAGCTGTCTGCGGATCAACACCGAGCTGGTTCCCGGGAGTGCTCGACGAGCAATGGATTTCGCAGGGATCGGAGCTCGTGCGTGTGCGCCGTGCTGGCACCCAGAGGCGTCGAAAGGCCCACGATCGAGTTCGATCACCTCGGGGCTTCGGATCCACACTTCGAGTGGTCCCGCGAGGGCGTTGGGTGAGCAGGGCGTTCGCTCACCACAGACGCTGCTCGACCTGCGCAGCGGAGAGGCTCGATCCTGCCCTGTCGTGGCGGCTCCTCCGCAGGTGGGGCGTCGAGGGGGCTGCGACGGGGTGCTGCCCGCAACCGGGCCAGGTGGCGACGCCCCCCCCGGGCGAGAGCCCAGCGGAGGATGCTGCTGCAGGGGCGGGCGGAGCCGCCTCGCAGTGGCGTGTCCGCCCCGCCCCAGGGCGCCGGGCGGCCCGCCGCGGCGGCCTTGCCGGGGCCGAGGACGACGACGCCATCGCCGAGGACCTGCTCGAGCTTGACGACAGCGAGCCGGTGCCTGGTCGGGGTCGGCGGCGTGGCACCCCTTCACTTAGAACCGAAGAGCCCCGAACCCGAATCGCACGATGAAGACGTAGCCTCACTTACGTAGGTGCCCGTCTTCTCATTGGGGATCATAGTTCTGGGCGGCTTGGTCTGATTGGTGCATCTGCAGCAAAGACTCCCTGCTTCTCATTTTCGGGGCCCTCCTAACTTAGGCCCCCTCCCAGTGGGTTAGGGGTACTTTATTGCTCATCGCCCCCGGCGCGCTGCCGCTGGTGCCCCCCGCCGTGGCACCGCCAGCTCGCGAGCGGGCGGCCAAGCGCAGCAGCGCGCTGGTGGAGGCCTCCTTGGAGAGGCCAGGCCGGCGCGCCCCGCGCGGGCCTGGCGTCGCTGGCCGCCGATCGAGAGCCACGCCGGCGACGAGGGCGGTCCGAGGCCACGTCGAGCTGCAGAGGGCCGGGCCCGCGGTGAGGCCCTCTCGCCGAGGCGATGCGTGGTCTCAAGGACGTGGGAGAGCACGGCGAGAGGACCGCGGAGCTGCTGCAGGCTCGGTGCGGTGCGAATCCCCTGCGACAGGCTGCAGAGGCTGGCCCAGAGGTGAGCGTTCAGATGGTTCAGGCTGCGCCGGCCGTTCGAGCTATCGAGAAGGTAAGACCAGCGAGGCAGCGCAGAGAGAAGCGGAGCTGATGCGAGATGAAGCTCATCGATCGGCTCGTGCGCCGGCGAGGGGCCAGCTCAGGGCCAGACGGCAATGCGGGCGCAGTCGGACGCCGACTTCGACACTGACGCAAGGGAGGCCAAGGTGAAGCACGACAACTTGATCATGCTTGCAGCGCGGCGCCCCAGCTACTTCCTCAGGTCGGGCCTCGAGACGCTGAGGAGTCAGTTCGCCGCGCGCGCCGCTGGGCGAGTTCCCCCACTGCTGCCGAGCCTTCCTGGACATTCTGTCTTTCACCGAGCACCATGGAAGGCATGGGCAGCGAAGAGACGCGGCTGCTCCGGACCTTGGCGACGGTGCTCGAGAAGGGGCTGACTGGCGCGACGGCGCAGGCCCTCGACGCAGTCTCGCAGGAAGGTGCGGACTATGGCCGTCAAGGATGTGAATTTGTACGTCGCCAGGTTGATGGCCCTCGTTCCTCTCGACGCCGAGCCCAGCGTCGCCGCGAGTCGGAGGAGCGCGTCGCGGCGCGGCGGGCAGACCGCGCCAAGCTGCGCCGCGAAGGGCTCCGGATGATGCTCAGGCAGGCTGAGGCTGAGGCTGAGGCTGATGCAGGCTGAGGCTGAGGCAGCCTGAGGCTGAGGCAGGCTGAGACCGAGGCTGAAGGCAGACTGAGGCTGAGGCTGAAGCAGGCTGAGGCTGAGGCTGAGGCAGGCTGAGGTTTAGGCTGAGGCAGGCTGGTGCTGAGGCAGGCTGAGGCTGAGGCCGAGGCTGAAGGCAGATTGATGCTGAGGCTGAGGCAGGCTGAGGCAGAGGCAGGCTGAGGCTGAGGCAGGCTGAGGCTGAGGCTGAGGCTGATGCAGGCTGAGGCTGCAGGCTGAGGCTGAGGCTGAGTCTGAGGCAGGCTCAGGCTGAGGCAGGCTGAATCCGAGGCTGAAGGCAGACTGAGGCTGAGGCTGAAGCAGGCTGAGGCTGAGGCTGAGGCAGGCTGAGGCTGAGGCTGAGGCAGGCTGGTGCTGAGGCAGGCTGAGGCTGAGGCCGAGGCTGAAGGCAGAGGCTTGAGGCTGCTGAGGCTGAGGCAGGCTGAGGCAGAGGCAGGCTGAGGCTGAGGCAGGCTGAGGCTGAGGCTGAGGCTGCTCAGGCTGAGGCAGGCTGAATCCGAGGCTGAAGGCAGACTGAGGCTGAGGCTGAAGCAGGCTGAGGCTGAGGCTGAGGCAGGCTGAGGTTTAGGCTGAGGGCTAGGCTGAAGGCAGATTGATGCTGAGGCAGAGGCAGGCTGAGGCAGAGGCAGGCTGAGGCTGAGGCAGGCTGAGGCTGAGGCTGAGGCTGATGCAGGGTGACGCTGAGGCAGGCTGAGGCTGAGGCTGAGTCTGAGGCAGGATCAGGCTGAGGCAGGCTGAATCCGAGGCTGAAGGCAGACT